AAGCAAGGCTATGTGAAATTGAATGGAAACATCAGCTCAACTCATATGATTGTGGGAAAATTCTTCTTCTGCCAGTCCTTCATCACTTCACACGAAATTGGGTGAATACATCTCATATTAATTATTTTCTGGTAGTCTCGAAACCCTACTCAAATACGACTATATCAGTAGTCACTTATGCATGAACATGTGTGAGCGTGTGCACTCAAGTGTGTTTTTGTCGGCGTTGCTGTCCACCTGCGTTTGTCAGTCGCGTCGTCCGTCTGCATGAGTGTTGTGCGTGTGTCGTCAACTCCCACTTGAGCCAGGTGTGCGTATGCATTTGCAATCAATTGCAATGCTCCTCTGTCCTCCCATCCCGGGAGAGTTGTCTTGGCGAGGTTATGTCCATGCAAGAGCCTTCAGGCCATGAAGCAATGGTACAATTGCTCCGTCCAGACCACGCCCATGAGGCCAAGAATGAGTCAGGGGCCATTCGCGTCAGGGCCAATCGAGGCTCAGCTCTTTGCCCTGTCCTGGGCCAGCATGTCTCGCCAAACCGGCTCTGCTCCCCTCTTCGCGTTGTAGATAGTGCCTGTGCTCTGGTGTCGCTATGGACATGAAAATAACAACAACAATAACAACGACAACAATGACAATAACCACTACAAACATTGTGTCAGACCCGAGAGAATTTGAGTTTGAAAGCAGGAATCACAGATTGTAAAGCAGACAGCTTTTGGGAAGAAAAGCTGTGCGAAATTAAATGGAAGGGTCCTTGATCATCTTATTTCCCAAACGATTGGGTTTTCGAGACTGCCAGTAAATCAGATAAACGAACAGTGTTCAACCTATTTTTACGTTTGAGGGGATGAAGGTGATGAGTGGAGTTGACGCTTTCATGGAATTTCGCATAGACCTGCTTCTGCAAATGGGTAGTCTCGAAAACCTACTCATTTTGGAAAAAAGTAGTATCTTCGGTCGCTATAGCAAATATAAGTTTGCTCCATCGACAATCGCAGCACAGAATGTGATATGGAAAATGCCTGACATTGCTTGAAATTCACATCTACCCTGTGACCCAATGTGGGGTAGTGGTTACCGTGGCGAGCTTAGAAGCTGCATTGTCATGGTTGATGAGGACTAGACGAGGCCGAAACTGCAGTCCACTTCAGTCCGGATGAGAACACCTTTTGCGAAAGCAGGTCTATGTGAAATTGAATGGAAGCGTCAGCTCTACTCATATCATTGTGGGAATATTCTACCTTAAGCGAAATAAGGTGACTACATTTCATGCAACTGGTAGTCTTAAAGTTCTGCTTATATATGAAAAAAAGAATTAACTATTTTCGTTATAAGTGGGTCTTCGAGAAAACCAGTATTTCTGATATAAAAGCTGTATTTTCAAACTATTTCGTTTAAAGTGAAGAACAAATAGAAGGGTTCCTTGAGTCGCGAAAACTCGTTTCGGTTTGGCGCATTGGTTGGCGTGTCAAGGCTGTGCTCTGTACTACAGCAACTCGAGTTCGAGTCCCGCTATCGAAGTTCAGGTTGAACCGAGTGAGAGTACCTTTTGCAAAGTGAGGCTATGCGAGATCCAATTTGATTGTGATTAAATTCGAAATGTAATCACACGTCACAGTTCTTATTCAA